TTAACTATAAGCAATAGGTCAACTATATTTGTTGTATTGAAGAATTGTTAGCTGTACATGCCTGCCTAGCATGGTTCATCTGACCTTGACCTCATTTTCATGGTTCATTGGTCAATGTTTAGTTTACTTGGTTAATGTTAAGTTTATGTGACAGTTGTAATAAAGCTTTATATTTAGGACTATCAACATAATATCAATGATTAGTAAAGAAGGCGAGACATTTCAGCGTGTGCACTCTTGTGTTTTAATGCCTCATTATGTGGTTATAAATATCAAGAGTTTGAAGTTGAAAGGATAATTGTTAATTTAGATTTTAAGAGTAATCTTTTTGCAAGTTTTCCACAACTATTCACGACGTAAATTGATAAATTACATGGCATAACAATTATTATATTTTTTTATTATTAGTTTAGATTTTTTAAAGTAGTTTTAGTAAAAGCAAAAGTTTATTTTTTTAATGTTCATATTGCCTCCCCTTATTATTTTACTTATGTAATAATTTTTTATCTGATTGTATAATCCGAGTGAAACGAATTTTGTTTAGCGGGGAGTGATGTGGCGTGGTCAATTACATCCAAGAATTGATGGTCAGTACTTAATCAGTTTAATGATCTTTCATCTTGATTAATGTGACAGTTTATACGGTACATGAGTTGCACAGTAGAGTTGCAATAACATTTATTGATCCCGGATACATAGATCCCGAAAAATAATGACTAGTTACAAAACACACAGCATAAAGCCCCGTTACACTATAGTAGTCCTTTGTTAATTTATGTTGATCGTTGTCATTTTGCTTAGTTTCTTCTGTTAACTAATATAACATCGGACTTGGACTTCTTTTAAACTGAGTTTTACTGTGCGTTTTGCTGTTTGTTGTTTATTCCACACTGGCTAGATGTATAAAAGGGGGAGGATTGAGATCTTACAAAACATGTTTAACTCCGCCGAATTATTGCACCTGTACAAGTCAGGAACCTCTAGCCTTTGTTAGTCTGCTGTTTTTATTTTTAAATTTTGGTTCATTTGTATGTTTCTGAGTTTAGTGTGGCGTCCATTTCGCTGAATTAGTATACATTATTGTTTAGGGTCCAGCTGAAGCCCGCCCTCCTCCGGGTGCGGGATTTTCTCGCTGCGTTGAAGACCCATTGGTGACCGTGGGCTGTTCTCTGCTCTTTGGTCGGGTTGTTGCCTCTTTGTACATTCCTCGTTTCCATCCTCTATTCTATTATACAATGCAAATCGAAATTCATACCTCTTTTATGTCTTCGGTCCCTGTACTACTTTACAATTCATATGCATTCTGTTAAAGGTCTCTAATCCGTAAGGCTAAAGCGAAGTGTTTGTTCCTTTCACCATTTTACGAGTCCATCCTCCGGTCTGTGAAAAGATTTGGATCTTTAGATAAGCCAAAATTGGTTCGATAGCTATCGCAGCAGTGAGCATAGTAGAAAGCTCATCCCGTTGTGTATAACTAATAATTCATTTCAGTCAAAAAATGAACCAACCCGTATTACAGATAATAGTTCAACTATATGTGAAATTATTATAAAATATTGCATCAAAGCTTATGCTAACTGCAGTATTAAGTGTTTTTGGATTGGTTATACAAGGGGACTTATTGTTCCCTTTTTACTCTATATGTATTCCATTATTGTTATAAATCACAGCTTATGGTTTAACTTCATGAACACAAAAAAAAAAAACTCAGTGATTGATATTAACAGCACCTGTATATATTTATACGATATATTCTCTGATTTTTCGAACAACGTATTCAAATAGCGTGATTGAGCTATCACAGACATGTTTAACCTGGCCCGCCAAATAATATATGTGATTGTCCCTTGTTCAGTAAGGAGCCTGTAAATCAGTCGTTGTTTGCTGTCTGTCATATTTATATTTCGTTTATTGTTTTTCATAAATCGGACCAAAGGTTTTTTCGTTTGAATTGTTTCACATTTTGTCATGTCGGGTTCTTTTATAGTTGACTATAAGGTATGGATTTTGCTCATTTTTAAAGGACATACGGTGATCTATAGTTGCTTAAATCCACTTTATTTGGACTCTGTTGGATATTTGTCTCATCAACAATCACAACATATCTTTGTGTCGTTGGTATCTTCTTATTGAGTTTACATTTCTCACTTAGTTCGATATACAGTTTGTTCTTATGAGGGGGAGGGTCGAGCGCTCACTAACATGTTTAACCCCGCCACATTCTTTATGTGCCTGTACCAAGTCAGGAGCCTGTAGTTCAGTGGTTGTTGTTGGTTCATGTCTGTCATATTTGTTTTTCGCAAATTGTTTTGTTATAAATTAGGCCGTTAGTTTTCTCAACTGAATTATTTCATATTTTTCATGTCGGGGCCTTTTATAGCCGACTATACGGTATGGGTTTTCTCATTGTTGAAGGCCGTACGGTTGCCTATAATTGCTTACATCCACTTCATTTGAACTTTGGTGGATATCTGTCTCATTGGCAATCATACCACATCTCCTTATTTTTATATTTCACTTTTAAAAAAGTTGAACATCAGAAATATCATGAGAAATCATATACTGTTTTAAACTCAACATAGAAAAAGAGATTCGTTCTGGAAGTGTGATTCCACCAGCAAGAGTTTCATAAAGTTGCATTTTACACAAAGACTTTTACGGCAATTGTGATGAACATCGGTTGTTAATTTATAGTTTGAAGCAAGGATTTGTATAGTGAGACAATGCAAATCCTTGTTTGAAGCAACTGAAAAATTGCGGGAAAAAAATAAGAAAAATGTAAGTTCTAATTACTTTAAACAAAACTGTTTGCGAAGTAGTTCTGACGGCTGCGCAATAATATAGAAAACAAGACGGGGAAAACATTGAAAATGAATAATATGTATTTCTTTTCAGACACTGGATGGTAATACGACGGGATGGAGCTTTTTTGGATGCCCGAAAGGAACCAAAATTAGTTTTGATCAAACCATCATTAGATGGTAACAATCTGCTTCTCGATGCACCAGGGATGCGAACTTTAGTCTTGCCAAAATGTCCACCCATCGACAAAAGTTCAAAGTTGATAAAATGCAGGTTTGTTTACAATGATTTTTTAGTTTAAATGACCAAAAAATAAAAGACCAGGTTCCTGTTTGTTGAAATCGCGATGCAGGGTTTTTATTTGACGAGTCAGACACAAAAGATAAAAGCAATGTCCCCTGTATAAACCATAAAAGTAGTAGCTTCCTTAGTTTTTTGTTGTCATGACTGCAATTCTTGTCTAACAATGTGTTGAATATCGAGTATGTCATACATTTAATAAGTACAAATACGTTTTAGAGTTTGGGACGAATATATAACTGGTTTATTTTGTGGAGAGGATGCGAAAAGTTGGATAGCTAAATATCTTGGTTATGACGGACCTTCGATAGTTGTTTCTACACCATCCATGGAAAAAAGGGATAGCTCTTTAGTAGTGAAAGAGTTCGGCAATCCCGCTGTTGAAGGAGATCTGGTATATATATATATATTTTATGTTGTTTGTGCTGTATTTAGACCCCTCTACAAAGAAATTTGTTTTGCATGCACACGTATAAAAATTGCGGTTTTTATCCAACGCAATCATAGGTTTGAACGTTGTTTTCAATTTAAACTTGTTTATCTTTTATAGCATATATGTGTGACATGCGTATACTCACATAGACATATAATATTGTATTATATGCCTCTGGTACTCATTTATGTACTTTAGACATGAAATAATAAGGTTATATATAAAAAAGAATAACATGAATCAACAAGAAAACTGGACAGTACAACATACAACATCAACCACCAACACCCGATTTTAATATTACTTGTTACACTTACCTGATATCCTTACATTATGGATTATCTTTCCGGTATTTGGTCACATCTCGCTCAAAACGCTTGACTGATCAAGAATTCAAACCTCTCGGTGAATCAGTCCAAGCGTGAGAACCCCTTCAGTATTCTTTCCGGCGAAATCCAAAGCGGTCACGTTTCTTTATTCGTCAGAATTAACGTGTCTAAGACACAAGTTTTTGCAAATTAAGTTTTCGTATGCGTGCAAGGATGACGGAAGCTACCGTTCATCACACGCTCAGTGAAGACGAGGTATTTTCTACTGCCAGCAGTCCAAAATCATCAGTGGCAGGGGATGCTCGGGATAAAATGGCGGAGCCAAAAGCCTCGAGAAAGACCAGTTCCCGTAGGTCCAAGAAAAAGGACGAGGTCGAGGAACTGAATAAGAAATGGGAAAGCCGTTTCTCACAGATAGAAACCAGGTTTGATAAATTTTTTGATTTATTTAGTTCAAACGATGGTATAAATATAAACAAGGATACTGTCACGTCAGGTGAGCAGAGACCTTGTCAGAATCAATCTGAACAAGATAGTGGCTCTTCAGGAGCGCACAGACTTGTTCAGGATTCTAACCATGAACATTTTCCAACAGATTCAGTTCGTGAAAGGGAAAATGAAGATGTCGTATCTTTGGCATCAGGCCTTAGAGAAAGACATGACATAGGTTTACTATCAGAAGATGAGTCTTCTTTAAAAAGTGAAACTGAAAATCCTCAAAAATCTTCATCAAGATTCAGTAAATATGTGAATGGTAATGAAAGTGACTCAGATGAGAACAATAATGATCACTTAAAATCTTTATTTGGGGATGATGTTAAGACTAAAAAAGAGACAAGCTCTGGAGGTCTTATTCTTGACAAAAGTCAAATTGATATTTTATCTGGTTCTTGGAGGTGTAAAAATCCAGAAAGGTTGACAGCCTATAATGATGAATATAGACACAGTTTTCCTGTTCACGAGAAAACTAGTGATATTTTAGAAGTACCTAGTCTAGATAATATGGTACCTGATTTATTAGTGAAAAAACATGGTGCTAAAGCTTATTCAGTAAGCCAGAAAAGCAATTTATACAATCCTTGTTTAAAATCCCTTGAAAAGTTGGCATATCAAGGCCAGGTAGCTGCACGCACGGGGATAATTACTACAGCATACACCCAACAAGCTTTGGGCAATTTGTTAAATACTTTGTCAGAAAATGAAGTTAATCTAGACAAATCTATCCAACTTGTAAGAGACATATTTGCAATGTCTACAAAATCTTTGGACCAAGTGGCACGGGCTGGTGCATTTCACCACTTAATTCGTAGAAAAGCTACTTTAGAGGACACAGGTCTTAATGATATTAAAGAGCTTAAGCATCCACTTGTATCATTACCTTTGACAAAGTCAGGTGTCATTGGTGACAATATGGAACAAACTCTTAAAGACAGGGTTGACAAAAATAAACAATTAAAAGAGTTACTGCCTGAATTACATGTAAATAAAACTTTTTCAGTGAAAAGGAAAGCTACAGGCAATCAATTTTCCAATGATTGGTCTAAGAAACCAAAATTTGACAATGCACAAGGTTCTACTTTCACAGGTGCTAAGTCTAATACACAGCGTACAGTACAAAGAACTAGTACAGTAACAAGACCAGATAAAGACGACAAGAGTTCTGGTACAACGAACAATTTTCGTCGCTTTAACAACCCATTTCATGCCAAGGGGCAACAAAAGAAATGACTATCAGATCAAGGTAAGCAACTTTCATGTGCAAATGTTGCTTCCAGAGATACCTGTAGGGGGTCGTTTAAGCTTATTTCTAAAGGAATGGACAAAAATAACAAACGATCAGTGGGTTTTATCAATTATAAAAGAGGGCTACAAACTGGAATTTCAACAGTTTCCTCCAAAAACAGGAGTAAAAATAACTTCTGTTCCTGCAAAAGATTTAGAAATTTTACATTTAGAAGTAAAAGAACTTATGGAAAAAAGCGCTGTAGAATATGTTCCGCAAGCGGACATTTTAAACGGTTTCTACAGCACATTTTTCCTAGTTCCGAAAAAAACAGGGGACATGAGACCCGTAATAAATTTAAAACCCCTCAACAGGTATCTCCGAAAACAACACTTCAAAATGGACTCTCTGTCAACAGTTTTGAATGTAGTAAAACAAGGGGATTGGGCAATATCTCTCGATCTAAAGGACGCATATATGCATATCCCTGTATTTCAAAAACACAGACAGTATCTGAGGTTTTGTGTAAAAAACAGCCCTTGCTTACAATTTTCAGCTCTACCGTTTGGTCCAACATCAGCTCCTCGAGTTTTTACCAAAGTAGTATCGGTAGTAGCTGCACATTTACGAGCACAAGGCATCAGACTAGTAGTATACCTGGACGACTGGTTTCTAGTAAATCAATCATCTCTCATGTTAGTCCAGGATCGAGAGATAGTGTTGAATCTTCTGGTAAAGTTGGGTTTCATAATCAATCTAAAAAAAATCCTCTTTAACTCCAACACAGAAAATAACATATATAGGTGCATTATTCCATCTGGATTTAGGAATAGTAATGCCAACACAAGAAAGAGTGTTGAAATTACAAAAAACAGTCAAAGTAATGAACTTGAAAAAACATGCAACAGCCAGAGATTTTTTACATCTACTTGGAATTATGGCTTCTTGCATAGAGATGATTCCCTATGCAAGACTTCATATGAGACCAATTCAAATTTATTTGCTGAGTCATTGGCGCCCCACTTCTCAAAATCTGGAACTGAATGTTCCAATTACACAATATCTAAAATCTCATCTGATTTGGTGGTCAGATACAGCCAACATTACAAAGGGCAGATCTTTACAACACTGGGAAACTCATGTGACCATAACGACAGATGCTTCTACATCGAACGGTTGGGGTGGTCACATGGATTCCCAGATAGTCCAAGGGACCTGGTCAGATATACAGAAAACTCAACATATCAATTGTCTAGAGTTGGAAGCTGTACTGAAAACAATACAACATTTTCTCCCTCAGTTGAAAAGGAAAAATGTACTTCTGCGATGCGACAACTCGACTGTTGTACAATACATAAACAAACAGGGGGGCACCAAATCAATTCAGCTTTGTCAAAAAACTTGGGATTTGTTGAAACTCCTAATAGAACACAAAATTCAGATAAAAGCAGCACATATAGCAGGCAAAGCGAATGTGTTAGCAGATCTTCTATCACGGACAAAAATAAGACACACAGAGTGGTCTCTTCAGGAGACTGTAGCTCAACAAATTTTTGTCAGGTTAGGCAGACCGATGATAGATTTGTTTGCATCAGCGGAAAATCGCAAAGTGAAAATATTTTGTTCATGGTTTCCTCACCCGGAAGCATATGCAATAGATGCTCTGTCCATACCGTGGGACAATGTAATCGGGTATGCTTTTCCTCCGATCTGTCTAGTACCGAAAGTGCTCCAACACATGAATCGGTACAATTGCCAGCTAATTCTTGTAGCTCCTCATTGGCCAAGGAGACACTGGTACCCAGAACTGCTAAAAATGATATCAGATTATCCCATAAAAATACCAGTTCAAAAAAATCTACTACATCAGCCAAGAACAAAAATATACCATCCAAGCCCAGAAATATTCAGTCTGGTTGCATGGCCTCTATCAACAGAATTTTCAAAAAGAGAGGTTTTTCTAAAGAAACTAGACAACTCATGTCAGCTTCTTGGAGAACAGGAACTCAAAAGGACTATTCTAGTAAGTTCAAAAAATTCTGTGGCTGGTGTAGTGAAAGGGAAATTGATCCCTATTCTGCCTCTTTAACAGAAACTGCAGATTTTCTTACAAGTCTGTATACCAGTGGTCTCCAGTATAGTACGATTGGGGGCTACAGATCTATGTTATCAAGTGTTTTACCCCCAGTTGAAAAAATACCAGTAGGTCAACACCCATACATTATTCGTTTATTGAAGGGTGTTTTCAATTCAAGGCCTCCCAGGGTCAAACTACTTCCTGAATGGAATTTAGATAAAATACTTGAAATGTTAAAGAAAAAGCCTTTTGAGCCAATGAAAAAGGCTGAACTCAAGTTTATCACATGGAAAACTGTATTTTTAATTGCTATCACTACTTTCAGGCGTTGCAGTGATATACAGGCCTTACGTTTGGGAGATGGAAATATATCTGTACATAGCAGAGGAGTTTATTTTATTAGAGAAGGATTGTCAAAACAAGACCGTCCTGGACATTTTGGTGCTAAGATTTTTGTACCTGCCTTTGATGCAGAAAAGCTTCTTGACCCTAAAAGGGCATTAACGTACTATTTAAAGAGCACTGACAATTTTCGTGGTGAAAACAGACAAGATAGTAAATTGTTCTTAGCAATCAGTAATCCACATAAGCCAATTTCAAGTCAAACAATTTCATCATGGATTGTGAGTACCATTCAGATGGCATATAACGACAAAAAGAAATCTGTTAAGGCTCATTCGACAAGAGCTATTGGTCCTTCTTGGGCTCTTTATAAAGGTGCATCAATGAAGAACATCATGGAAGCTGCTGATTGGAGCAGGGAATCCACATTCACCAAATTTTACTTACGTCACATAGACCCTCATGTTTTATCGAAGTAAAAAAAAAAAAAAAAAAAAAAAAAAAAGAAGAAAAATACATAAAATTCGAAAAAAAAGAAGAAAAATGTGTACAGTTTTTTAACTTGTAATATAGTTTGTATAGTGTTGGAACTATTCATATCCGACGAGATGCGATGCAAGTTTTTAAACCTTTGTGTGTGAGATGAAAAAGACATCTATTTAATGTGTTTAAAGTCAAACATTTAGACTTTGTATATAGTGTAATATAGTGTACATTATTTGAACAAAAGAATTACAGTCCACCGCTTGAGTTGGGACTGCTTTAGAATCTATGGATATCCATAATGTAAGGATATCAGGTAAGTGTAACAAGTAATATTAAAATTGTACAATTTTGTTCACAAATTGGAATTTTGTGAACGTAGTTACACTTACCTGATATACTACCCACCTCCTCCCCATTAGTAATTCTTTTGGCAATCTGTTTGGATTTCGCCGGAGAATACTGAAGGGGTTCTCACGCTTGGACTGATTCACCGAGAGGTTTGAATTCTTGATCAGTCAAGCGTTTTGAGCGAGATGTGACCAAATACCGGAAAGATAATCCATAATGTAAGGATATCAGGTAAGTGTAACTACGTTCACAAAATTCCAATTTGTGAACAAAATTGTACAATTTCTTCTGATTTGGTTGAGGCACAAAATTAAATGTGGTAGGGTTAAACCAGTTTTACGTGCGCAAACTCCCACCCTTTATCTCCATTTTAAAACTGAAACAAACAATTATAAAATAAAATGCTCCGCTGGGCGCAGCTTGATACGACCGCAGAGGTTGAACCCTGAATAGTTGGGGCAAGTATGGACACAACATTCAAGCTTGATACAGCACTGAATTTGGATTGTGATTAAATATTTGACACAGCAAAGGTTTCTGACACAGAATGAATGTGGTCTAAAGGAGAATTTATCGCCCTTTAACTACGGTCTAGTGGTGAATAGCTCTGACGAAAAAATCATAAAAAGTATCTAGTTATAGAAGAGTAAGTTATCAGAACAATGTCTAACAACCAAAACATGATACCAGAACAGCAAAATGAAAACAACAAGCAAGATTCAGATGGTAAACAATCAGAAATTGACAAGTCTCAGTCCGTTGGTAGTGACAATACTTCGGCGCCATCTTTTTCCAATGTTGTCAAACATCATAGTGTAAATTATCAGGCCTACAGCGATCCTGAACCAAAGCTAAAAGGAGTAAAACCTATCTTTATAAAAGAATCAGACTTCTTTGGCAACAAAACTCCGCCTAAAGAACTTTGGATAACACACGTAGAAATATACAAAGCACTTGAACATAAGATAAAACCACAGTTTGTAAGAGGCATTCAAAGAATAAAACAAATGTGGAGAATCTACCTAGACAGTGAGGTAGACAGAATGCTGTTGCTTACAGAAGGCATCACATTAAGAAACAAGTCGGTACCTCTGCATTCCCAGAACCCATATTACCAAAAAGATGATTACATAACAACAACAGTACGGGTAAAAAACATCCCACTATCAGCAGATGATGGTCAAATTGACAGAGAATTAAGACAAAGAAACATAGAGGTTTTCACTATAAACAGAGAAAGACTAAGGGTTGATAACTTGGTAACCAACTGCTGGACAGGAGACAGAATAGTCATATGCAAAAAATTTGACAAACCACTCCCAAGGTTTCTTACAATAGGTCAATACACAGCAAGAATATATCACTTTGGTCAAATGAAAGATACAGACATGTTCTTGTGCAACAAATGTCAAATGAAAGGTCATAATATAAAAAACTGTCCAAATGAATGGAAATGCAGACTATGCAATGAATATGGTCATAAGATGTTTGACTGCCCAACCTTTTTGGCAAAGAAGATGGGAAAAAATTCTGAAACAGAAAGAGATGAGCAACAAGAAACAACAACAGCTAATGCTGATGAAAATACAAATACCGAAGAAAGCCAACAAATTCAAGCTCTTACAGAAAATAAAAAAAGAGATGATACTGATGAACAACCTGAACTAACAGATGGAGATGACGAAGACAATCTGACACATTCAATGTCATTGAACAAAGAAATAACAGCAGCAGATGCAAAAAAAGAAAAAAAGAAGGCAAAAAAGTCTGCAAAAAAAGAAGGAAACAAAACTTCAAGTGATTCTTCTAAACAACAGACATCAAAACAGACAGAAACAAAAAGAGATTCTTCATCTGCACAATCTGACATTTCAAAATTTTTAACCCCAAACAGTAAAACGAATGCTGCCAAGGAAAGAACCCCACCTACTCCCAATCAACCAGATGGGAAAAGACAATCAGTCCATCTATAAATTATAGAAACATTTTATGTATAACAAAAAAAAAAAAAAAAAAAAAAAAAAAAAATATGTATGTTTATATGTCTTGTCTCTCTTTGTATTTATGTTTGTGTGTATTTAGTATTTATAGAAAGATAATTGAATGGAATAAAGATTCCAAAACAAATGTAACAAGAGTAAATATAAAAAAAAAAAAGAAACGTGAAATTTTGCACATATTGCATTATACCATATATTTTCATGTATATGATACTATTAACAGAAGTATATTTGATAATACCAAAAACAAAAATTGTCAGAGATAAAAACACTTATATTAGAAAATTTAACCAGTCTTTTTTCTATTTAAAACCCTTTAGGTTTACAACTTTAATCTATAGTAGATGTACTCAACAAGATCAAAACAAAAGTAAAGATTTACTCACCTTAATAACTATTCTTAGTACATCTTCACAGCATAAATCCGATAAAGTAACTGAAAATAGAGAAAAGGAAAATATTATGCAAAAAGCAAATAAACAATGTAAAAATGTTATGAAAAACAAAATATCAAAAACAAACAGATCCGTTTCATCAGATTTCGAAATATTTGAAAATATAACCACATTACTTGCTGAGAAAATTAGAGACAGTATATTAGTTTTCCTCAGTCAAAACCATACATTTGTTTTAATTTGCACAAAGCAAAGAAATGTGTCAATTTGTAATTTTATTAATAGTTCTATGTATATGTTGTGTGATTTGTATTTCAGGTATGCAGTAATTGCTATGAACATATATTATATGTTTCAAAATTATCATCTCAATATTGGACAAATTCATTCGTGAAACAGACTATAACAATATTGTTGCAATCCAATTACACAAAAGAAAATTGATAAATGTAATCATTTTCACAGGTAACTCCCACCCTATAAAACGACGATTAAATGTGGGTGAAATAAAATGTACTTTAAAAACGCGACCCAACATAAAGTACACTTACTAATTAAAATAAACATAAAAATCAATTTTAAGTTACTTATTTTTTTTAATTGAAACATGTTAAATAACCTGCACATTTGTACAGCTAATGTTAAAGGACTTCGAGATAAACAAAAGAGATCGAGATTTTACCAATGGATAAAAAATCAGAAATGTAAAATATCTTTTATTCAAGAAACTCACTTCAATACATCTCTAGAAAACGTTCTAACTATCGAATCAGATCATTCTCTTTATTATAGCCATGGGACGACATCAAGCAAAGGGGTAGCTATATTGATTAATAAAAAAGTAGACTATAAATTAATAGATGAGCATAAAGATTTAGAAGGTCGAATAATCATGATAAATATCGAATTTGAAAATATAATTTATTCTCTTATAAACATATATGCCCCAAATATAGAATCTGAACGAAATAGCTTTTACAAAAAATTAAATGACTTTATAAACAAAAACGCAATAGGTACAATAATTTTAGGAGGAGACATGAATGATGCCCTTAAAAATGTAGATAGGAAAAGTTCAAATACTCGTAAAAAAGTTAGTAAACCAGTCAATAGCCTAAAAAATTTAATAAAATCAAATGACTTAATAGATATATGGAGACACGTTAACCCCCAAAAGATCCAATATACATGGAGACGTAAAAATCCAGTCCAGTCTAGTCGAATTGACATGTTCCTAGTCAAAAAAGATTTCATGTTAAACGTCAAGTCGTGTGATATTAGGCCTATTCTTATTAAAAGCACTGACCACCAAGCAGTTTCCATACAATTACAATCTGTCTCAACTGAAACTAGAGGCCCGGGTTACTGGAAAATTAATAACGGTATCCTCGACGAGCAAGATTATGAATGCAATATAAGTAAAATAATACAAAAACATAGTAATAAGATAGAAAAAAATGAAATAGATCCAAGACTTCTGTGGGACTCCTTCAAATTGGAAATAAAGGAATATAGTATTAAGTATAGTAAAATTAAAGCAAAAAATAGGAAAAATGTAACACGTAATTTAGAATCACAACTAAAAATATTATATGAGAAATCAAATAATGAGGAAAATGATTTTATAAAAGAAAAAATATCCACATTAGAAAAAGAGCTAGAAAACCAATATGAATACAAAGCTAAAGGAGCTCAAATAAGATCAAAACAAGAGTGGGTAGAAAAAGGAGAAAAAAATAACGCGTATTTCCTAGGTCTTGAAAAATCTAAACAAACGAAAAAGACAATACTTAAACTGAGAAACAAAAATGGGGAAATAGTAACAGATCAAGATAAAATATTAAAGCTTGAAAGGGATTTTTATGCTAATTTATACGACACTAAACAAAAACCGGATATAGATGTTCAAAAATACATTACTGAAACAAAACGCAATTATAAATTATCAGAAGAAGAAAGTAAATCTTGTGACGGATACGTAACGCTAGAAGAATTAACTATTGCAGTCAATAATCTAAAATTAAATAAAAGTCCAGGAATGGACGGGATAAGCATTAACTTTTATAAAAAATTTTGGGGACTTCTTGGACCTATACTTGTAAAAATTTTTAACTTTAGCTTTGAAAATATACAACTGCCATTTACGCAAAGACAAAGTTTACTGAATCTAATTTATAAAAAAAATGATCCGTTGGAACTCACAAACTACAGACCAATATCATTATTAAATAGTGATTATAAAATACTCTCCTACACTTTAGCTTTAAGAATAAAAAAAATCCTAAATCTAATCATTAATGCTGATCAAACAGGATACATCAAGAACAGATTCATAGGTTTTAATCTACGCCAAATACAAGATGTAATAGATTACGCAGATAAGTTCAATATATAAGGTGCTATTTTATTCATAGATTTTTCAAAAGCTTTCGACACATTAGAATGGAATTTTATGTATCATACTTTAGAATATTTTGGTTTTAATAAACTCTTCATAAATTGGATAATCCGGCAGGGATGCCCGTGCTCTTCTCTACTTTTTGTAATGTCAGTAGAAATAATGGCCAACC